GTGAGGTACCTAGTTATGAGTCAGCCAGGTGAGGGTGTGAGTGAGGTACCTAGTTATGAGTCAACCAGGTGAGGGGGTGAGTGAGGCACATAGTTATGAGTCAGCCAGGTGAGGGTGTGAGTGAGGTACCTAGTTATGAGTCAACCAGGTGAGGGGGTGAGTGAGGTACCTAGTTATGAGTCAGCTAGGTGAGGGGGGGGCGAGTGGGATACTCATTTTGATATGAGGAGACGCCCAATACCTCATGAATAACAATGCGAACCTTCCTACCTCCGCATCGCTAATCTTTATCACCATAACGACGTAATCTTCACCAGGATTGGTAAAGAGGATTTGATTTACAGGACGACCCGAATCTAGATTGTTACCCAGATACCGAGAAAACACAAAACCATTTTAACAATATCATCTCCGGATCGAATCATTAATTGCGCAGCGTAACCCCCTCTTGCTGTAATTCAAGAAGCCTTGTATTACAGCATAGTCAGGGTTATGTATTACAGCATAGTCCTTTTATTCATTAATACAGCATCATAGACATTCTGTATTACAGCCAGAGGGGGTTATGTATTACAGCATAGTCCTTTTATTCATTAATACAGCATCATAGACATTCTGTATTACAGCCAGAGGGGGTTATGTATTACAGCATAGTCCTTTTATTCATTAATACAGCATCATAGACATTCTGTATTACAGCCAGAGGGGGTTATGTATTACAGCATAGTCATTTTATTCATTAATACAGCATCATAGACATTCTGTATTACAGCCAGAGGGGGTTATGTATTACAGCATAGTCATTTTATTCATTAATACAGCATCATAGACATTCATTCAATAACACTGCGTTGACAATATTGCAGCATACATCTTCATTATATAATACTGAACTAATAAGACCCCTCACAATCATTCAATAAGTAATGAAGAATAGACCATTCATTCATTCATTCATTCTGAAGTAAACAGCTCATTTTGACTCCATGTTCTGTAACCAATCGTTTCCACTCACCTTTGTAACGTAACGAAAGGTAAAACTCACTTTATAAAGTGAGTTTTGGAGTACACTTTATTTTTGTCAACCCCGAGAGAATTTTTGTAACAAATATTATTGTGTCTTTGTCCTCTGGGATAGTTTTATTTGTCCAATTGTTTATGCCTGTAAAGTATAGATAATGGTCATTATTCTTCTTTCTAACAATGTCTTATTGACCTTTGTCTTAGGGAAGATGTCTTAGAACGGCATGTAAAGGCCGTCGACGCCTTAGCTAGAGCTGTGACACTAGCTCTTAGACACAGAGCCATTGTGTCTAGCTCTTTGACACAGAGCCATTGTCTCTAGCTCTTAGACACAGAGCCATTGTCTCTAGCTCTTAGACACAGAGCCATTGTGTCTAGCTCTTAGACACAGAGCCATTGTGACACTAGCTCTTAGACACAGAGCCATTGTCTCTAGCTCTTAGACACAGAGCCATTGTCTCTAGCTCTTAGACACAGAGCCATTGTGTCTAGCTCTTTGACACAGAGCCATTGTCTCTAGCTCTTAGACACAGAGCCATTGTCTCTAGCTCTTAGACACAGAGCCATTGTCTCTAGCTCTTAGACACAGAGCCATTGTCTCTAGCTCTTAGACACAGAGCCATTGTCTCTAGCTCTTAGACACAGAGCCATTGTCTCTAGCTCTTTGACACAGAGCCATTGTGACACTAGCTCTTAGACACAGAGCCTTGTGTCTAGCTCTTTAACACAGAGCCTTGTGTCTAGCTCTTGAAAACAGAGCCATTGTCTCTAGATCTACTACTATCTCTAAAACACTGAGTGGACAGCATCAATGAGAAAGAACACAACACATAGAGTTCATGTCTCGTGTTGTTCCAGCATTCCCACAATGCTGCATCTTGGAGCATTGCGGTATGGAACCCCTTAAGAACATCTCGCAGCGTATCGGATGCTGCATCTCTTGTCAGCTCGTGAGGCGGTCTCGTAGCTACGAGCGTGCTCTCATAACTAGTCGGTCGCGTTTTTTTGTAATGGTTATCGCAATTAGCGTTACAAATGCAACCTATTCAGACAACGGCTTACAATTATCCACTCTTTCTATGCAATGGACTCGGTTGGTTGAATGGGGGAGTTGGTTGCTTAGTTTTATACGTCCTGGTTAGGTTAACCTGCTTGATACCTGGTTGATGGGGTTCTGGGAGTTCTTCTACTCCCCAAGCCCGGCCCGAGGCCAGGCTTGACTTGTGAGAGTTTGGTCCACCAGGCTGTTGCTTGGAGCGGCCCGCAGGCCCACATATACCTGCTTGATGGGGTTCTGGGAGTTCTTGTACTCCCCAAGCCCGGCCCGAGGCCAGACTTGACTTGTGAGAGTTTGGTCCACCAGGCTGTTGCTTGGAGCGGCCCGCAGGCCCACATATACCTGCTTGATGGGGTTCTGGGAGTTCTTCTACTCCCCAAGCCCGGCCCGAGGCCAGACTTGACTTGTGAGAGTTTGGTCCACCAGGCTGTTGCTTGGAGCGGCCCGCAGGCCCACATATACCTGGTTGATGGGGTTCTGGGAGTTCTTCTACTCCCCAAGCCCGGTCCGAGGCCAGGCTTGACTTGTGAAAGTTTGGTCCACCAGGCTGTTGCTTGGAGCGGCCCGCAGGCCCACATACCCACCACAGCCCGGTTGGCCCGGTTAGGAGGTTTACAGAGGTTTACAGAGTGGCAAATCAACCTCTGGAAGGTTAAGGCCCACCACAGGTACTCAGTAACCTGTCAACAAGTATACTATAGAGTCCTGAGCATAGTTTAGAACTAAAGTCAACTTTCAGAGTGTATTTACACCAAGAAGCAGAGTACTTTGTGTATCTCTCTTCGCTCCTGTGAAGAGCACGGAGTGAACTAGAGCCTCTTGTTCAAGAGTACTGTTGTTGTTGGGCTGTTTGATTCTGCCTTGATTCTTGTCTTACCGAAAACATTTTATCCATCAGGGAGCAACTCAACCTGGTCCTTATCTGACAAACTGCCACCAGCAATACAGTGTTGCACTTGCAACACTGAAGCAACACACACACACACACCTGTCGTTCTTTTTCCTTGTTCTCAAGAGCCGCGCCTCACGCAAGGGGCGTCTTAAAGACTATCACCCGGGAGCATTGCGGGATGGAACACTCCTTAAGAACATCTCGCAGCGTATCGGATGCTGCATCTACAATACATGCAGATCCACGCGACAGGAGAGAAGCGTAAGCCTCTTAATAGTCTCGCTGAAAAGGTTCTGGCAAGCCTCTTGTTGGGATGTTCAAGTCCATTACATTCTATATTTGGTCCGCTGGCCGGCCGGCTTGATCTATTATGTGAGAACTTGGTGAATGGGGGGAGAGGGGGGGGAGAGGGAGGGAAGGTGAGGGAAGGTGAGGGAGGAGAGAGCCTTTGTCTTCTTGTTATGAAGAAGGAGAGGGGGGGAGGGAGTCTTTGTTTCTTTGTTTAAAATTTAAGTTGGTATGAGTTTTAATAGTTATATGAGCTATAAATTAAAGTTCTGACGGTTTTGAATAACTTAAAAGATTGAGTAGAAGACCAATGGTGAGAGAGAGAGAGAGAGAGAGAGAGAGAGAGAGAGAGAGAGAGAGAGAGAGAGAGAGAGAGAGAGAGAGAGAGAGAGAGAGAGAGACCCAAGTACAGCCCATATGACAAAGTACGCATGAGTAAAGCGAGCTATAGTGTCTGGATTTTAGCATGACTGAACATGTTATGGGAAACAAACACCAGCACATCGTGTGTGTGTGTGTGTGTGTGCGTGTGTGTGTATGTGTGTGTGCGCGCTCGCGTGTGTGTGTGTGCGTGTGCGCGTGTGTGTGTGCGTGCGTGCGTGCCAGCCAAAAACAAAAATTAATCATGTCATGAGGTTAGATATAACAAATGTTGTTATAACCCAACAACAACAATATCAGGGGTGTTATAGTGATTGGGGGGAGGGGTTGATGGGGGGGGGGGGTGTAGGGGCACGGCGCAACATGACTCTGGTGTGGAAGTTGCTGAGTGTTGCAACCCTTGATGAACACAAGTCTGCTTACTCATCTGCCATTTCATCAGAGCCTGCATGTAACACCCTTTCTCTTCATTTCAAGTTCAAGTTCAAGTATGTTTATTGAGATAAGCCATAAATACATCTCAAAGGGATAAAGTAGCTTAGGCTATTTCTACCCCCCCCCCTTTCTCTTCATCATGCCTTCTTGTTATCCCCTCCCCCCTTTTTTTTAGGGGTGAGAGGAGGGGAAAGAGGATGAAGAGGCATAGGAGAGAGGGAAATAGTTGTTCCCCTTCAACCACAACTCCTGTTCCATCCCAACTATCCTCCCCCCTCTCTCTCGCCCTCCCATCAAATCACTCGTCCCCCCCCCCCCCTACCCCTAACCACCACCTGTATCCTTCCTTCTCATTCGCCAATCCCTTAACACCCCTCACCCCCACCCCCAGGCCACCACACCTCTTCCCACTTCCCCTTCTCACCCCCATCCCATCTCTTCCCCTCTCCCACCCCTCAATCTCCCCTTCCCTGAGATTTGACTCCCGTCACGGCCGGCCAGTATATCTCACAAAAGGATTAGAGAAGGATTAACAGCTCTTAATCCAACCCACAATGGATGGTATTTCATCCTGGATTTTACCATACATATAAACTCACATATTATATTGCATTACAATGTATAACGCTGCTTGTATTGCAACTGATATGTAGTCAATACTGCAGGCGAACAAGCTTGTTTATAGTTAATCATTTCCCCCAAAAAACCTAAAATACTTCTAGGGATAACAGAAGTGCTGTTCTTGACTATTTTAAGACCATTTTTGCTGTATGTAATACAAGCGAGATTTGGATTACATTTCAATATAGAGCAAAATAAATCAATTTAGAGCCTTTTTGGAACATCTACAGGTCAACAACCCGGAATTTATTCCCCCACTGTTATCGTTACCTGCTCGATAACCCGGAACTGTTATCTTTACAGATGAAACAACGGTCGTGTGGACTCTCTCGCTGATAGCCGTATTTCCAGGTGAGTTATCTTGATTTAAGATAACTCGTGTTATCTCGACCTTAGATAACCTAAGCTAACCTAGGGGCCTGACAGCTGGGTGGACAGCGCTTCGGATTCGCGGTCTTGAGGTTCCGGATTCGATCCCCGGTGGAGGCGGAGGCAAATAGGGCAGAGTTTCTTTCACCCTGATGGTGGTCCCCTGTTACCTAGCAGTAAATAGGTACCTGTGAGTTAGACAGCTGCTATGGGCTGCTTCCTGGGGGGATGTAACAAAAAGGAGGCCTGGTCGAGGACCGGGCCGCGGGGACGCTAAGCCCCGAAATCTTCTCAAGATAACCTAACCAGTCCCCAGTGAGGCAGCAGCTATACCGGCCACCAAGAACGGCCATTAAAAAATATATAAAACTGGTCTATTACACATCTCATGAATGATTATAATTCAACTCGTCAATTGACTTATCAAAAACTCCTCCAAAGTTGTTGGAGTTCTTTTCCTTTGGTACCTTTACCTTCTATATCCTTCCTTACTCTAACTTTCCTGATTTCTTCGGCATCCTGTAGGGAGCCGGCTGTAGGGAGCCGGTCGGCCGAGCGGACAGCACGCGGGACTTGTGATCCTGTTGTCCTGGGTTCGATCCCAGGCGCCGGCGAGAAACAATGGGCAGAGTTTCTTTCACCCTATGCCCCTGTTACCTAGCAGTAAAATAGGTACCTGGGTGTTAGTCAGCTGTCACGGGCTGCTTCCTGAGGGTGGAGGCCTGGTCGAGGACCGGGCCGCGGGGACACTAAAAAGCCCCGAAATCATCTCAAGATAATCTCAAGAAGATCCTTCTGATTTCCCTGCTTGCCGGCTGTGTGGTCACCCAGCCACGCCGTTCCCTGCTCGATACCTGCTGCTTGATGGGGTTCTGGGAGGTCTTCTACTCCCCAAGCCCGGCCCGAGGCCAGGCTTGACTTGTGAGAGTTTGGTCCACCAGGCTGTTGCTTGGAGCGGCCCGCAGGCCCACATATCCACCACAGCCCGGTTGGTACGGCACTTCTTGAAGAAAACTATCTAGTTTCCTCTTGAAGATGTCCACGGTTGTTCCTGTAATATTTCTGATGCTTGCTGGGAGGATGTTGAACAACCGCGGACCTCTCATGTTTATACAGTGTTCTCTGATTGTGCCTATGGCACCTCTGCTCTTCACTGGTTCTATTCTGCATTTTCTTCCATATCGTTCACTCCAGTACGTTGTTATTTTACTGTGCAGATTTGGTACTTGGCCCTCCAGTATCTTCCAGGTGTATATTATTTAATATCTCTCTCGTCTTCTTCCTAGTGAGTACATTTGAAGAACTTTGAGACGATCCCAATAATTTAGGTGCTTTATCGCGTCTATGCGTGCCGTATATGTTCTCTGTATTCCCTCTATTTCAGCAATCTCTCCTGCTCTGAAGGGGGAAGCGAGTACTGAGCAGTACTCAAGACGGAACAACACAAGTGATTTGAAGAGTACAACCATTGTGATGGGATCCCTGGATTTAAAAGTTCTCGTAATCCGTCCGATCATTTTTCTGGCTGCCGCAATATTTGCTTGGTTATGCTCCCTAAACGTTACGTCGTCAGACATCATTATTCTCAAATCCTTTACATGCTGTTTTCCTACTATGGATACATTTGATTGTGTTTTCTACTCTGTATTATGTTTAAGGTCTTTATTTTTACCGTACCTGAGTACCTGGAAGTAATCATTGTTAAACATTATGTTATTTTATGCTGCTCAGTCAAAAACTTTATTAATATCTGCTTGTAGTTTTTCAATGTCTTCAGCAGAGATAATTTTCATGCTGATTTTTGTGCAAAAGATGATACGAAACTGTGACTTGCATTTGAGTCCATATCTGATATGAGAATAAGGAAAAGCAGTGGTCCAAGGACTGTACCTTGAGGTACAGAGCTTTTAACTGCGTTTGGACTCGATTTTATATGGTTGACTGTTACTCTTTGTGCTCTGTTCGACAGAAAACTGAGTATCCAGCGTCCTACTTTACCAGCTATTCCCATTGACCTCATTTTGTGTGCTATCACGCCATGGTCACATTTATCGAATGCCTTTGCGAAGTCCGTGTATATCACATCTGCATTCTGTTTATCTTGGGGTTCTTTTCTTTTTTCTCTGTTTCTTCTTCTTTTTCTTTCTTTATTCCTGGGGCGGCGCACAGAGTGGACCTCGAGAAGCTGTATCAGAGATCTGAGTGATACAAAATTACAAAATTCGTGGGTGATGGAGGAAAATCAGAAAATATATAATATTCACATACAGGAGGGCCATATGGCCGAGCCAGTATAACGCAGCCAGACCACAGTGTGGCCCACAAGGCGCAGGAATATGGCCCCCCTGGATGTGTAAACAAAGTCGTTGTAGCTCTTCTGCAAGCACTCCCTTATTATTAAACTTAAAGCGGGAAGGTTGGTAGCATCAGAGCCCAGTGTGGCACTCCAGTGGTGGTGTGGTGGTGGCCCCAGGGACGACTGACTCTCTGGTCTGGGCCAGCAAGCAGGACTCTGGCTGGTCTGGGCCAGCAAGCAGGACTCTCTCTAGTCTGTGCCAGCAAGCAGGACTCTCTCTAGTCTGGGCCAGCAAGCAGGACTCTCTCTAGTCTGGGCCAGCAAGCAGGACTCTCTCTAGTCTGGGCCAGCAAGCAGGACTCTCTCTAGTCTGGGCCAGCAAGCAGGACTCTCTCTAGTCTGTGCCAGCAAGCAGGACTCTCTCTAGTCTAGGCCAGCAAGCAGGACTCTCTCTAGTCTGGGCCAGCAAGCAGGACTCTCTCTAGTCTGGGCCAGCAAGCAGGACTCTCTCTAGTCTGGGCCAGGAAGCAGGACTCTCTCTAGTCTGGGCCAGGAAGCAGGACTCTAGTACTGGATCTGATCAGTCTCAACGACTCTGAGTGACATCTTCAGCCCCCCTTCCATCCTCTTCTCCCCATTCCTCATCCTCCCAACACCCCCCAGTCCTCCCCATCACCCCCCCCCTGGGGACAGACACCACTGACCTCAACCCCCCCCCATCATCCCTTCACACACCTGTCCATCACACGACACCTGTGTGTTTACAATGCAGTCTTCATGTGTTTTTTATCGTCCGGAAGCGGAGGAGCTCCATGAGGCCCATAACCTTTAAACACTCATTGTATTAACTAATGTACATTTTTGTACAATTTAAATACCTAATCAAACAACTGAAAGGGATTGGTAGGATAAAAGAACATTGAAGCTGTATTGGAGATCAATATCCTTTCTAATGCACAACATCCTTTCTAATCCTTTCTAATGCACAAAATGAGCAAATCCACAAGGGCCGTGACGAGGATTCGAACCTACGTCCGAGAGGGTCTGGGGACCGAGACCTACGTCCGAGAAGATGATGCCTGAGACAGAGACTACAGACACAAAGAGACAGTAGAAGCAGAAGAATTGACAGACAGACAGAGACAGACAGATAAGGCGGGGCTGAGGGAGGCTGACGTCACCTCGACGACCCGCGGACTTCATTGTTTTTTCTCAAAAATGTTAAGCCATACGCAACTCTCTCCTCTTTCTTCCGGTCGTAGGCAAGTTTTTTAATATCCAGAGATTGCAGAGATCAAAAGGAAGGTGGGCCTGGAGGAGCTTTGCATACAAGCATCGCGAGTGGAGATTGAAATTGGAAATAGACCAATGGGAAGGAATAGAACGCGGAAGATGATTCCGAGATTGAAATGAAGAATCGATACGTTTGCAGAGCGGGAATGGAAGAGAAGAATGGAGTTGGGCCGGAGTGACTGGAAAAACAGATGGGGGGGAGTGACTGTAGCAGCTAGAACGACTTACAAATATCTATATGTTATGTATTCTTAGAATGAATAATTTTTTTGTCACACACAAAATGGTAATGTGGGGCCTGACAGCTGAGTGGACAGCGCTTCGTATTCGTAGTCCTGAGGTTCCGGGTTCGATCCCCGGTGGAGGCGGAAACAAACTGGCAGAGTTTCTCTCACCCCTGATGCACCTGTTCATCTAGCAGTAAATAGGTACCTGGGAGTTAGACAGCTGTTACGGGCCCTCAAAGACGCTAGAATCAACTGCATTCTTCTCACCTCTGCAATGGGAGCAACATGCTCAAAATCAATGTCATCGTCAATAGCAACAGCACCACCATCGCCAACATTTGCAGCATGAGCAAGCAGCACCCCCACAAGACGAGGCGGCCATCAGCATAGGACAACCAGGTCCACGAAGTGGCACTGGCCCTCACTGGCCCTCTTGGCACCCATAAATAGCGCTTATCGTACCCAACTGCCCCTCTTCCCCCTTGTTTCACCCACTGATTGGTAGTTTGGCCGGGTCGTTACGAAGCGACTCTCTCATTTTTGTCCCAATTTGGGATAGGATGTCGAGTTGAGGACCCCCGAGAGACAAGGATTGAGGCAAAATGCTGTCATGGTATTGGTTGGTGGTGGAGTGGTTGGGACAGTACTGTTGTGGTCACTCAACCACCACCAGAGTGGGTAGAGTGGTTGAGACAGTACTGTAGTGGTCACTCAACCACCACAGAGTGGGTGGAGTGGTTGAGACAGTACTGTAGTGGTCACTCAACCACCACAGAGTGGGTGGAGTGGTTGAGACAGTACTGTAGTGGTCACTCAACCACCACAGAGTGGGTAGAGTGGTTGAGACAGTACTGTAGTGGTCACTCAACCACCACAGAGTGGGTAGAGTGGTTGAGACAGTACTGTAGTGGTCACTCAACCACCACAGAGTGGGTGGAGTGGTTGAGACAGAGGCTCTGTGGTCATTAACTGGTTGATAATACCTCCTCTTCTTCTAGGTACTCTAAAGAGTATATTTATTGATGTCTCACGAAGCTTGAGTTCCTATAACCGAGTCATGTTGATTACCAGTTTAACATTTACATTAACGACACTTATTGATGTCAATGCTAACTGCTTTCACGCATGCTGATGACCCCCAATTGATGTTCTTCCCTTTGCTGGGG